TCCATGAACTCTTTGCCTACCCCTATGTCTTCAAGAGTTCCACCTACTTTCTCTTCCAGGAGATTTAGTGTCTCTGCTTTAATGTTTAGATCTTTAAACGTTTTGGAGCGCCAGCAGCGGCAGTAAGCTGCTTTCGTGAGACACAGGTCTTCGATGTTGATTTCATTCACCACCTTGGGGTTTTCCTTCTGGATCTTAAGGTTTATCAAGCTGTCCTTCTGTTGCTTCTTCTTCGGGAAGAATGGGCGGATGGCAAGATAGCCCAGCAGAGCGAGCACACCCAGGAAGGGCAGCAGCCGGAGCCATTCTGCAACTGTGAGGTGCACGAAGCCGGTGATGCTTTCCGGCACCGGAAGGCGCTTCAAGTAGGCAGGGAGCTGTACCTTCACGACCCGGGCCACGCTCTCCAGAACCATGGCGGCTAGCAGCGTCTGCGCCTCAGCGATCCCGCCAACCTCGGCCCACTGCCGCGCCTGCGCCCGGGGCGCGGCCACCATTCCCCTTTAACTTTGGGTGTCTGGTATTTTGTCTCAATGATGACAGAAAAGTAACTAAGAATTTGGTAGCAGAGGAGCAGGGTCATTGCTGTGACTCTACCTGACCATGTGGTTCAGGAGCCTTTGGGACTGGCTTGTGGGAAAGGTTCAGAGATGCCATCTGAAAAAGTAGAGTTCTACCTGTTGGGAGGCTCTGGTCAGGGCTCAGAAGACCGGGGGGCTGATAACAGTCCTGCCGGGCATCTGCTGGGGCGAAGGACTACAGTGGCTGTTGGATGCTAGATGCTATGTGTTGTGTCTTGACAAAAAGTTGGTCTACATTATGCTCATGTCCAGAGACTTTGCCTGAGACTGAGATTAAAGGTGGCAGACTAATTAATTTTGCAGAAGAAATTTCAAGGCATCCTAATGTTGAGTTTGTCTACTGTTTGGGGCTCTTAGCCTGATTTATGGTGAGACTCAAGAGCAAAACCTCCAGCAGAATGATTTAAAATACTGTGATTTTGGCCAGAAAGGAAGCTCCATTAAAGTTGTTGAAAACGTGAGACAGTGGATTTTTTTTAAATTGAGTACAGGGTCTACAGGGTCTCACTACCTAGATCGGACTCAGTGATCCGCCTGTTTTCAGCCTCCCAAGTGCTGGGATTACAGGTGCGCACCCCCACGGCCAGTCTCAGTTGCTGTCTCAGCGTGCCCTGGGGCTTGGCCAGTATGGCACACTGTGGATCAAATCCCAGCCTCTGCACTCTGCCTGAGCAGGTGCTTTAGTCCACTGAGCTATCTGGCCGGCCCTGGAGAAATTGTTTGCTGAAAAGACTAGCAAGAAAATGTCAAGTAGTTTAGAAGAAGGTAACAGAAAAGATGGTTGAGGACATTGCAAGGAGCAGCAGGACTCCAGCCTTCCCACCCTCAGAATTTCAAAGGAGAAAGATTTTGCTTCAAGGAGAGAGCCCCAGTGCGCCATGTCCCACAGTAGTGGTGGGCTAGAGAATGTGTTCCTCAGGATTAGGTCCAGCGTGCCCAGCGATCCAGGCACGCGACACCTCCGTCCATGAAAGAAGGAAGCTGGCTCAAGCTCAGTCGGCGGCAGACCTTGGTGTCAGCCACATGGCGCGGGTCTTAGGCACGTGTGGAATGCGAGAGACGTGGGGTCAGCGAGGCTTCATGCAGATTTCAGAAGAAGGCCTGGGAGGCCAGGCAGCATGCTCCTGAGAGGCAGCATGTGAAGTCTGAGGTGCAGTGGAGACCCCGGGAATCTGGAGCAACCAAGAGTGTGGATCGTCAGAACAAAACTGCAAGGAGAGAACAGAACAGGCTGGGAGAAAAGCCATGGGGGCCGCGCCCCGGCAGTAAAAGAAGGCAGAGCCACCCGAGCCCTCAGTGCCTGCAGCTGCTGCACTCTATCTGTCACTCTCTTTCCCCCAAGGTGACACTCCACTTTTCTCTGTGCTCCTTAAATGCGGTGGGGGCAGGATTTGTGTGCTCATTTTATGGCCCCTAATGCAGATTTTTAGCCAGGAGAAAGCATTCCAGAGCCTCTGTTTTCACTTCCATCTCACTCCTCCTTCAGTTTCCTGAGGTGACGTCCCAGGCAGCCTGCTCTTACCCCATCAACACACACAGCTTCTTTGTTCTTTGGGGGGGAGAAGAGAAAATATGCATGAGTTTAGTGTGGAAACACTTCTCCCTGGTATTGCAAGCACTGTCACTGCAACTGCTCTGTGGAGCCGGTGACATGCAGCTGGAAGGTGTTCCACGATGCACGCCCAGCCCGAGGAGTATGTTTAGATGACACTAAAATTTGGCTTAACATTAAAGCTTAGTTTATGAAGTATTTAGAAAATTAATTTTAGAGTGTTCAAATATACATCTGTGCAATATTTTTAGAGCCATAACACTGACACTCCAATGGCTCAGAGACATACGTACTGGAAAACATCTTGGGATACACAATTTGCATGTGTGTGTGTGTTACTTGGGATTGAACACCCAGGGTATTCACACTGAGCTACAGTCCCACCCCTTTTCTAGTTTTTTATTTTGAGACTGGATCTCACTAAGTTGGCTAGGTGGGGCTTGAATTTTTGGTCTTCTTGCCTCAGTCTCCCCAAGTGCTGGGAGGGCAGGTGTGTACCGCCACATGTGGTAGGAAAGAGAGACGTTTAATTCCAGCCTCTCGTGGACAGTTCTGCTGCTATCGTCAGCCCTTTGCAATGTTTTGCCTCCAGGCTTGGGAATGAAGAAAATCAGCTGTCCCTAAGGGTGAGTGGCCGGGCTCATTAACATGTCCATATATGCTGATTGTGTGTGCGGGTGGAGTTGGGAGGTGAAGTGAAAGCTGGAATTAGTCACATGAATTATGGGCTTGTTTGGGTCCCGGGCCACTCCTGCCCTAATCAGTGCCAGTAAATCCTGCAGGCAACTTCGACACGACTTCTCTCTTTCTGTCCCACTCAAATAAAATTTCATGCCAAAGGTAGAAACCACAATCCTCCCTGTCTTGGTTTTTCATACAAAAACTATTTTTGAGTAATTTTAAATGTCAAAGCTTGAAGCGCTGCGAACAGAGAAGGCTCATTCAGTTCACAGCCTGGCTCAAAAGTGTTTAAAAATTCTGATGAAAGCACTAACATTTTAAGAAGTTGATACTTTTCTCCGAATTTATTTAAATTCCAGAGAGAAACAAAATTGCAATGTTGGAGGAAAGGATAAAAGAAAAAAGGTGAGAAAAGCGAGAATGTCAACAGCACTGCTTCCTGCCCAGGAGAGCTGCAGGCCCCACCGTGGCGGCTGCTCCGCGCAGCGTGTCTGTAAACACGGTTCACACACTGTCTACTGGACTCAGCACGGGACGTCGCTGCCGTCCCAGACGCATCTGTGAAAGTGCACACAGGACACGTCCTGGGAAGCATTCGGCGCCCTTTTCCAAATATTTCATTATGTACGCATTTTAGGTTCAATACACAGTCAGTGTTCACATAGTTTGTATAATAGAAAACACACTTTTAAATCAGCCCTGTGCAGCAGGAAATCGTCCTGTAGGAGTTCTCAGAGGTTGATTCTTCATTTAGCAAATGTTTATTGATAATAGAAGGCAGGAAGTTAGGGCATACTTCTAGCTGCAAGAGCGTAAAATGTGTGTGTGTGTGTGTGTGTGTGTGTGTGTGTGTGTGTTTTAAAGTTTTAAAAAAGCAGAGTTTTTTTCCCCCCCAGGGAATTCAAAAGAGCTTTTATATAACTGTGTGTGAAGAATATAAAGCCACACAGAGGAACCAGGAGGCAGAGTTGTTTTTCCAAAGTTACAAACAGAACAAGGATGTCTACACAATCTAGAAAAGTCTTGAGCTCGAAATAATTAAAGGACAAGACCATGCCTGACCTAATCCAGTGCCTCCCAAATTATGGAATGTGTTCAGAGGGGTTCTTTGGGAATCTGATGAAAATTCCAGTCCCCAAGGGCCCACATATCTTACACTTCTGCACAGGGAATTCGGTGTGCAAGTCCAAGTCTTCCTTTACGTCTTAGAGCTGCCACTGTTGCATTTCCACGGCTAATGCATAATAACCATTTACGCTGCCCTCTCCGCTCTAGCAAATGAACACTCCGGGGACAGAACTGCATTTAGTTTTTACCCCAACCCCTTTCTGTTTAGCACTGTGCTTTAGGCTAGGAGATCCTAAACCTGCTGTCTGGCAACCCAGCAGACTTGGTCAGTGGCTGCAGCTCAGGAGGTCCCCTCTCCCTGTGGGGTTCCTGTCCCTTGCGAGGGTGGAGGGTGGCGCTGCACCTTTGCCTCTGGCGAAATTCTGACACAGTGAACACGAACGCTGCAAAGCTCTAAAGGCCTAAACGTGGAGGTCTCAAAACACTACTCCTGTCTCATTGATTTATTGGCCAAAACCTATGAAAGGACAGGTCTGGATTCAAGGGGGAGGGGGGGAGAAATAGATTCCACAGTTTTGGGGGTGGGAGACAGGGTCTTGCTATGCAATCCAGACTGACTTTGAATTTACAGTGCAGACCAGGCTGGCCTTGGGCTCACAGTGTCTCTTGCCTCGGCCTCCCAAGTACTGGGGTTACAGCTCTGCCCACTGTGTCCAGCTCCTTTCCATGATGTTTTGGGGAACGAATGGTACGTGTGTTCAGGGATGAGAAGAATCTTTATAAAGACTTTATAAACAGTCCACACAAATGATAAGGAAATAGTAGAATAGAATAGCTGATGTGACAAAAATCGTGTTGCTCAACTGATGGATGGAGGATATTGTATTTGACCTGACACCTGAATTTCACACCAAACAGTTGGACAGTTGACAATTTTTAGTACCTTGTCCATATGAATTCAAGTGCTATGTACAAAGAGGGTTAAAAAAAATGAACGCAGTGTATAAACCTGCCACTACATTCTGGTGAGGGGCAGATCCCACGTGCACAGCCCCATCACAATGAACACAATGCGTGTTACAGGAAAGAGCATAGTAGGCACAGCCTGACATTCTGCGGAAGGGTCTGAGTGCATGTGGGTTTCTTGGGCCCACACTTTTTAGCAGATCTTGAGAAAGTGTGAAGCCCTAAAGGGATCTGAAAGGACTGAGAAAACTTCAAAGGACCATCGAGATGCCATGGGGTGAGGCAGGGGGCTCAAGCGACAAACTGAAGAGAAGTGGAAACCTCTATACAGATGGGAAGAGGATGATGGGGGAGGAAGCACTGGCTTAAGTCAGAAGTCAGTCAGGTGTAGGGAGGTGAGGTGGGCCTAGGAGTGGAGCAGCACAACAGGATACGGAAACTTGGAGAAAGAACCGGGAAGAGCAGTTAATCCAAGGGTGACTGGATTTTCTAGCTTTGGGAGAATAGTAGATTACTAAAAACAACAAAACAGCAACTCCAGGAGTAAGTGAGGGTTTTCTGGACCATA